ACCTTTACCTCTAACACGCTTATAACCTTTACCTCTAACACGCTTATAACCTTTACCTTTAACATGCTTATAACCTCTAACATGCTTATAACCTTTGCCTTTAACATGCTTATAACCTTTACCTCTAACACGCTTATAACCTTTACCTTTAACATGCTTATAACCTTTACCTTTAACATGCTTATAACCTTTACCTTTAACATGCTTATAACCTTTACCTCTAACATGCTTATAACCTTTACCTTTAACATGCTTATAACCTTTACCTCTAACATGCTTATAACCTTTACCTTTAACATGCTTATAACCTTTAACATGCTTATAACCTTTACCTCTAACATGCTTATAACATTTACCTCTAACAAGCTTATAACCTTTACCTTTAACATGCTTGTCTATAATTGTCTTTTTAATCTCCTGAGACAAGTCTTTGCTTGTCTTCCTCTGGTCCATGTTGAGGGTGGTCCACACCATGTCAGCAAACAGCACAGTGATTATCTGAAGCTCTATATACAGACCCACTGACAGATTACAAGATGGACACTTGTGATGATAATTAGTGGACACACCTTGATTGAACATGACCCTTTGGTCACATTATTTTCAGCGGTACCATCACTTCTGTCCAGGCCTGTTTCAAGAGTTATTATTTTTTAATTCTGCTGAAGCCTGGCTGAAAAGCAATGTCTGACTGTCATTTGTTCATTTTAATATAATTTTTATTAGTTTTGTGAGATTCAAGTTATTTCTGTGACCATTGTGGGTTTTTCTTACGTTAAATGAGGGGCACCACGTGTAATTCATTCATTTCTATTTATCATTAACGTTCTGAGCTTTATTTGTAATAATGAGTTGTTTTTAAAGCATGTGTAAGTTATATTTGTGTGAATGTGTGTGAGAGTAACGAGTCGACAGCCGTCCATCTCAGAGTGTTTAATGATCAGAACCAATCAGCTCCAGAACCTCCACCCATGAACACATTTAAAGAACAAACAGTCTGTACATTTCATCCACTCATTCAAGTAGCTTCTGTTACTCATTCACTCACTCAGACACCAGTCTGGTTACATCTGTTTGGATTCATTCATTCATCAGTTCTGGTTTTAATGATCATCTCAGGTCTGAATCAAACAGAGCTTTGATTTTCAACAAAGAGCTTTAGGTTGTGTTTGTTAATTACAAGCCATGTCCTGCACCATGTTGGACCGGAACCAATAAACTCTTAATGCTAACAGAGACCACAGAACTCTGACCCGGTCCAGTCTGTGGAGCGTGACTCGGGTCTAGGTTGTTCTCTGAGCGGGACAAGTTTGGACCATCAGTTAAACTGAGAGAAACACAGACTGTGGTTCATTAAAAAAAAAAATAAGCCAATTGGTTAAAATCCCAGTGAGCTTAACTCATCAACCAATCAGAGAGCTTCACTTCCAATACTGACACTCAGAGGAGCCAATAGGATTCAAGCAGGTGTATAATACTAAGTCAATGCTGCTTCTTGTATAAAAAGTCTTTCAATAATAATTTCATCATGTGTTTCTGCAGGTAAACATTAAAAATCACAATACTGTCTGAACAAACAAATAAACAAACAAACAAACAAACAAACAAACAAACAAAGATACGGCAGTCCCAGTCCATCAGAAGTAAAGAAAGGTTGACCTGCTGCAGGTGTATCTGCTAAAACTCAGTATGGACAAGATGTGAGAGTGAGGCAGTTAGTCAACTCATCACTTCTAATTCTGTAATACCACCTTTAAAAGGTGGCCTTGTAATAATGTCCTGTGTTCAGTAAAAATCTCACAGCTCTCTGACACGATGTGCACGGTGGAGCAGAGGGCAGCTGGGGCCTCACAGTCAGAGTAAAACATTTTAACAACTAAAACATAAACACATGTTTGGTAAAGGTTTTATATTCTAAAGGAGAAAAGAATAAAAGCAGCTCTCATATCTAACAATTAAATCTGAATGTGCTGAGTCACTTTACTCAACTGGAAGAAGAGGAATTAACTCTGTTTGTTTCATCCTGTCACAAACAGGAAGTTAAAACAAACAAACAAACAAACAAACAAATGGTTGTTTTCCCAGATCTCCTCCCAACTATTCAGACCCCAGGACAGCAGGACCCCACAGGTTCAGTTGTTCAGAGGAATGATTCAAAGAGCAGACAGATTCAGTACCAGACTCATGTGTGCCTCCGTCACTCTTATGTTTGTCTAGCTCTATGGTGTCACTGCATCCCATCACCATAGCAACAGACAACAAATGTAAACAAAACAATACAATAAACAGCTGAGTTAAAGTCAACACACTGTAGAATTTTATTACAGAATCCACTGTCGTACAGCGGATGAAAACATGACTGTGTGTGTGTGTGTGTGTGTGTGTGTGTTTGTGTGTGTCTGGTACTTGGTTAGTTTTCTGCTGAGAGCCTCAGCTGCTGGTTGAGACCCGGTCCAGCTGCTCGTCTGATGTTCTGACAGAGCATGGGCGGAGCCTCAGCATCCAGCTGCTGCAGGAGGCGGAGCCTCAGCCTCCAGCTGTTGCAGGAGGCGGAGCCTCAGCCTCCAGCTGTTGCAGGAGGAGGAGCCTCAGCCTCCAGTTGCTGCAAGAGGCGGAGCCTCAGCCTCCAGTTGCTGCAAGAGGTGGAGTCTCAGCCTCCAGCTGCTGCAGGAGGCGGAGCCTCAGCCTCCAGTTGCTGCAGGAGGAGGAGCCTCAGCCTCCAGTTGCTGCAGGAGGGGTAGCCTCAGCCTCCAGTTGCTGCAGGAGGCGGAGCCTCAGCCTCCAGCTGCTGTAGGAGGCGGAGCCTCAGCCTCCAGCTGCTGCAGGAGGCGGAGCCTCCTGCTGCTGCAGGAGCATCTTAAACTTTCTGCTCCTCTTTAAGAGAAGAGAAGAAGAAAACCTTGTGAGTCTTTGGCATTGAGGAGAGAGTTTAACTCTGACACTTGTCCTCCAGTTGATAGTGGGTCTTTCTGTGAAGCTGTGGGGGAGGGGGGTGTTAGTGAGGGGGGAGGAGCCAGAGTTTTTTGACTAACAGGTGACTGAAGCAAAGAGAGTGGAGTTTAAAGAAACAGAAAATGATAAAAGAAAGGAGGGATTGGAATGAGCTGAGTGAATGAGTCTATCTCCCATAAAGCCACAAAATGACCCACTATCCACTGTTCACTGTGTGTGTTTGTGTGTGTGTGTTTGTGTTTGTATGTGTGTACTGTCACTGTGATTGAGTCTTAGAGGAGGAGCTCATTAGTTCCCCTTCACTTCTCCCTTCATTCCTTCTTTAACTTGAGACAGATGAAACAGAGACAGAAAGAGGAAGAGGAGGATGAAGAGGAGGAGGAGGAGTCCTGACTACTGGTCTCCTCCTGCTGAGCAGACCAGTCTGGATAAGTCCAGTCAGAGCCATGCATGGACAGAACTCTGAACGTTACAGTCTGTCTGTATGTCTGCCTGTCTCTGGCTTCTACAGGTGGAGAGGCGCCATGTCCGGGTCATGTGACCTCTTGCTGCTGTCCCATTGGTTGAGTGGCCTAGTGGGCGTGGCCTAGTGGGTCTCTTTGAGGGCTTTGAGGAGAGGGGGGTTCTGGGTAATGATATGATCCTAGAGAGAGGACGACAACGACAACATCAACAACAAAAAAAATCCCACAAAACAACTAAAAAACAAAACAACAACAACAACAAAACAACAAGGTGCAGTCAGGTGGAAGGTGGGTGGAGCAGGACAGACTGTGGAGTGTTGCTGTGAGCAGACACACACAGCACACGTGACAGATTGTTGGGATGTGAGCTGAGACTGTTTTTACTTTACATCATGAAGACAAACACAATGTGTTTGTTAAGTCACTGTCAATAACCTGACATAACTTTACATTATTTTACATAACCTAAAATAACAGTACATAAACTAACCTCAAATAACTTTACATAACCTAATATACATTTAAACAACCTCTCATAACTTTACATAACCTAATATATCTTTACATAATCTAACCTAACATAACTTTACATACCAGTGTTTCCCCTACCATTATACAGGCAGCCCCCCCCCCCCCCCCCCCCCCAACAAGACTTGGTCGCCCCTCTAAGAATTTCACGGCATGTAGTCGTTTTTATTTAAATAAGGCCAGATCAAGTCCAGAGCTATTTTTTGCGTTCCTCCATATCCACCTCTCACCAAACTTGGGGAAAAAGACGGCGCAGAGCGAGGCTGAGCGCTGTGTGTGGTCCTCACAAAGATAGGAAGACGTGTGTGAGATTAGACACGCAGCTCTGTTTCTAATCACGTAGCACAGATGCGACAGCTTTGTAAGCTACTTTTTCTTTCTTTAAAAGAAAATGTGACAGGTGAAGCCACAGCATGGTTACCTTATCAATAATTACTGCCTTTTTTTCTTTCTCTGTGGGTGGGGGGTCAGCTTCACTCAGCTACAGGTGAACACCTCCCGGGTTTCCTGGACTATTTTCCACCGAGGATTACATCGTATTTTATATTTATTATATTTCTAAAAGCACTTCTCAGCATTTCCCCCTGTGTGTTCATGTCACGAGCGCAACAAAACAACGACCGATCAGCTGACTGTTTTTAAAGTGAGGGGCAGCTGAACCTGTCCACCTGCAGCTGAACATGTCAGTCTGCAGATGAACCTGTCCACCTGCAGCTGAACATGTCCACCTGCAGCTGAACCTGTCCACCTGCAGCTGAACCTGTCCACCTGCAGATGAACCTGTCCACCTGCAGCTGAACATGTCAGTCTGCAGATGAACCTGTCCACCTGCAG